GGCATAGACAAAGGGGTCGAGTGCTCCTGCGGCCCCCACCTGCTCTCAAGGCCCCCCGGCTGTCCTGCCTCACAGTCCCCACAGTAACCAGGCCCTGCTGCCGTCAGTGGAGGCGAGGGGGCGGGAGGGAGCGGTGACGTCAAAGCGGAGGAAGAGGGCGGAGCAAGGCAGCCGGGGAATGTGGGACAGGGAGGCTGGAGAGGCAGCGGTTTGGGAGGCGGCCAGCCCGAGAGGGCGGCGGCCAGCGCACTTGGGAACATCGTGTACTCTTGGCTGGTGGCCCAGGACATGCACCCAGCCTGGGCGCCTCCCCCAACCAAAGACAGCCATCCTGTCCCAAAGCCAGGGATTCCTGGAGAGAGGATTAGGAGGAAGGGGTCCCCCGCCTCCTCCCCTGAGCCAGGCTCTCTTCTCCAGACTCGCATCCTCCCTCCCCTCGGTTTATTCCTGCTCTTGGCACTGGCTTCCCCCGTCTCAGAAACTGTACACATCTGCTGACCCAATCCCAAAGAGCTGGGGCGGGGACGCTGGAGGCCCAGGTTCTGCGAGAGAACACGCACCTTTGCTCCTTCCCAGAGGCCCCCTCGGAGCTGGAATCTCTTGTTACTATGGCAGCACAGAAAGGGAGGAGGGGCAGGGAGAAGAATGGGTGTGGGATGAGGAAATCGAACTGAGACAGAGCAGACAAGCCTGCCGCGGGCCTGGATTCTGGGAGCGGGATGAAAGGTGGAATGAGGGCTTGGGCTGGTGCCTCACGACCAGAAGGCCGGGGAAGAGGGAAATGAGGGAGTCACCGAAACTTGCAGAAAAACTTGAGAATGTGAAAATAGTTCCCAGCCACAACATTTCTGTCAGTTGTTTTGAAATCCTATAGCCATATTATTTTTTTAGCTAAAAGCAAAACAAAACAAAAAATATTAAACTATGACCCAGGCGTTGCGATAAGCACCACATATATATTATCTTATTTAATCCCCAGAACAGGTCTGGGAGATGGTATTACCCCCGTTCTACAGAACCAAGGCTCAGAAGTTACTAAATTTGCCTCACAAGGTGTTCTCAGGCTCTTAAAAAGTGGAGCCCAGGGTTCAGATCTGAGCTCTCATCATGGCTTGTCATTCTGGCATCTTACCCTTTGGGCACCTGTGCGGTGATTCCCAGCACTGGGGATCGCCAAATAGCCGATTCTAAGTTTGGTGCCGGGAACACAGATCCAACCTCTCCCTGGGCCTGGTCTCAGACACCCAGTCTGCACTCCCCACATGCTCTACCCAAGTCATCTCAGTCCGTTTTCACACGCTCACAAAGTCCTTGAGATCAACCCAGCAGCCACCAGGGATTTCCTAGGGGTCCCACCTGCTCATTCTTCCACCATACCCGGGTCACTTTGCCACAGGGCCGGGTATTTGCACAAAGACCAGAGCTCTACCAAGAGGTTGGTGCCTCCTGGCATCCAGGGGCTCAGGAAGACACATGCACAGAGTCCACACAACTCTCTGGTCTCTCTCAGAACAGTGTCTACTCCACCTTTACTCCCAGGGATGGGTCCGAGGCTCAACCCCTTCCCTTTACACCCGAAAAAGACATCCAGAGCCGTGATGCCACCGGCTCAGGGTCACACACATCATATCACCACGCTTTCTGGAGTAGCCATGTCAACCCTTTCCTACCCTTCCACCTGCCCTGTCAGGGCCTCCTCCCAACCTCAGAACCTCTGAATCTTCTAAGTGTTTAAGGAGCCTACCCAAACAGTAGAGCCAAGCACTAGAACGTCCCCCACCCACTCTCAGGGACCCCGACCCCACACCGCCCCAGGAACAGGGGTCTCAGCTTCCGAACCCCACCCTCCCAGGACCCCCTGGGCCAGTCAGGCGGTGGGGGTCCAGGCATCTAGCGCAGCAAGGAATCTGTCAGATGTCGCAGACTCCCGCCCTCGTCCCTCCTGGTCCCATTCCCCACGACCCTCCGAGCTCCCACCGTGGCGATCTTGCATTCGCATGATCCTCCCGCCCCACTCCATTAACACCGCCCGGGACAGGACACACCAGTCGGGAGAAGCGCACACGGGTCTCCGATGGTCTCCGCCCACCCGCGAGCACTCACCCCCGCGCGCACGCACAGGCCACAGCTTCTTCCCAACGAGACAGCAGCTCCCGGACCCTTTCCTCCTGGCCCGCCCACCCGCCGCGCGGCCACGCCCCTCAAGCTTATTGGCCCGGGGGCCCCGACCCATGCCCTGCGCCTCGTGCGGCCGCCCCGCCCCCGCCCCGCCGCCATTGGCGCGGGCCGCCGCCGTCTTCTTCTCATTGGTCAGTCTGTCCACCCGCAGTGACAGCTCCACGTGCGAGAGGGACCGCCCCGGCGCGTTGATTGGGAGTCTGGGCGAAAGTCACGCCCCCATCCACTTTGGAGGTTCTTATTGGCTGTGGCACCGGCCTCAGACATGCCCGGATCCGGGATGTAAATGCCAGCCAGCCCTCTAAAGTTTCTCATAGGCTGGTAGGTCTCGGAGCTGTAGAGGACACGTGCCGGCGACCTCACGCGGCAGCTTGTTTACCTGGAAGCTGGGGATTTTCCTTGACGACACTCTTTACCAGAGCCTGCAGAATCTACGCAGGCGCAGCAAGTGTGACCCGCACGCAGGCGCAATTGTGAGCCGCGGTGGCGTTGGTCGGGGGAGCTTTGTGCCGAGACCCGGGTGAGCTGTCCTGGGCGTGACCAGAGCGCCCCCACCCCGCCCGCGCTGAGTCTCCGGCCCTGGGCCTCTAAAGCCCCGCGAAGCTGCAAGGGGCCGGCCTAACGGTGGAGCGGTCTTCCGATCTCAGCGCCGCGCAATGTTGATGGCGACGGCGATGGCTGCCTCGGGTCATTCTCTGGACCAAGCCCGGAGGCCGTCTCACTACAGCTCCGCCCCAGAGAGGACTCTGGGCTCCAGAGGTTACATAATCTGTCTGGATTAACACTCCAATCCGTATGGGGCCAAGATTTAAACCCAGGCCCCGGACACGATAAAGGGCGGGTCCGAGGGCGTTCGCAAACCCTCGGTAGATGAAGGAGCCCCGCGAGCAGCGGAGCGAGCCCTCGGTAAATGGGGGCGTTATTATGAGGACGGCGTGCCTAACTGCGAGAATCACCTGGGCCCCTTTTGTAGAAGCATCCCTGGCAGTTGGGAAACACTAAGTAGGCTGCCCTCACACCGCAGCCCGGGAAGTCGGGGTTCCAGAGCCCATCCAGAACGCCGCCCGCTGCTGCAGCCCCTGGGGTCGGGGTGCTAGGGGGCCACGGGAGCTCAGCGCGGGGTCTAGAGTCACCAGTCCCACAAGAGGGTGCAGGGCTAGCAGGCCAGCCTACGGCCGGCTGTCCCTGAGCCCATGTGCCCTATTTATTAACCCCTTCGGGATGCTGGCACTGTGAGAGGAACCTCGGGGAAAAGACGTCTCGCGGAAGTCGGCCATCTACTTCAGCCTGGGACTAAAAGACCACGGGAGCGACTGCGGAGCATCTGGGAATTAAATCAAGGGCTGTAGAAGGCTCCAGTAGACAGAGGAGTTGCCTCCGGCCTAAGCCGCAGGGTTCACCATCAAGAACGGTTCCTCGCATCAGCGCCTGGCGCCCACCCGTGGCCACTTTGGGAATCACACTTAGCTCTGCCCAAGGTCAGGCCCTCCAGCAAAGCTGTCAATTCCAAATGTATCTTCTCAACTTTCTTGGTTCACCCTTCCCACCGGTTAAGAAAAGGTCTTAGAACACACACCAGCTGGTTACTCATTACACATTTATTGTACATTTTCACAATCTGGATGCGTCACAGAATTGGGGGCATGGGGGGAGGGAAGGGGGGGCAGGGGACACTGGGATAATATGGGGGGGTCTAGAACACAGCACCCCCACCCCCAGCATCTCTCCCTACCCTTTCACACCACAGCTTCGATCTCCCTGCTCCCCCTCCACACAGAAACCTTGAGTGTGGGGGGAAGAGTGAGTTTGGGGGGGTCCCCTCCAGCAGGTTAAGGGGCTGGACCCTCAGACCCCTAAAATTGTGCCATTTAAAAAGACATTAGACCCTTCCTCTATCACTTCACCTAAGGAGGAGACAACTCCCGGGGCTCAACTGCCCTGGAGAGGGGCGAGAATCCCCATCTTCCAGCAAGTCCCATACACACATTGGCAGTGACTAGTACCCCCACCCTGAATTCAGGGGGGCAGTCAGAGGAGCTGGGCAGTGATGGGAGCAACACCCCCCCCAAACTGGGGAGGGGAGTTTCGATCCAAACCCCAGCAAGGGTAGGGCCAGATTTCAGGCAGGAATTGGGGGGATTCTCTGCCCTGCCCCACTCCTCCCTGAGGCAGTGATGACCCCCCACACACTGGCAGCCAGCTCTCCCAAAGGAGTCAGATTGTGGCCCACCCCCAAACACTCCTGGTGGGAGGAGGAGGAGGAGGCAGATCAGGTGAATGGGAGGGAGGGAGACCCCATGGGAATGTCGGTTGAGTGCCCCACACGAAAACTGGGGAGCAGGAATGTGGGGAGAGACTCCAAGTGGCAAACTATTGGTCCATCATGACACACTGAACTCCAAGACACTTACACACCAGCTGGGGGGAGGGGGAGGAGGGGACAAAAGGTCTGGAAAATGGGGACAGGGAGGCAAACCAGACTAGAGGGGCTAGGAGGGGGTGATTCTGGGGACCAGGAGAGCCTGGCTCTCCAATCCCAGGCTCCCACCACCTGCAAGTAATGTCATGCAAATGAAAGACTGATACAAGGACCATGGGGACTAACTCCTCAGTAAAAAAGAAGAAACATGGGTGGAAAGAATGAAGAACGATGGAACGAAAGAGGAGGAACCAAAAGGGATGTCAGTATGTAAATGAATGCTAATTAACATGCTGGAAGCTCCCAGAAGACCTTGGGATTCTTAGGACCAAGTGGGGCCAGTCTCAGGGCCTCCCAAAGACGCAAAGAAGATGCACCCTGGGAGTCCTGGACAGTTGCTTTGTTTTTTTTTTTTTTGTTTTGTTTTTTTTGTAGGGAGTGGAAGTATAGGGAAGGCCAGGGGGAGAGGAAGGGATCAGCTAAATCCAGGGGAAGGAGGAGAGGAAGAGGAACTATTGCATAGCAGATGCAAATGAAGGGGTTCAGGGCTGGTCAGGAAGAGAGGGAAGGGGAAAGAGGAAAAGAGAAGAGATGGGAACCTCAGGGAGGGGAGTTAAGGACAACCGGAAAAATCTTCTAGTAATAAAACTACAAACAGACCAAATATATATAATATTATATATGTATAAATAACAGCTGGCTATTTACAGGGGGGGGGGCACACACACAGGGACACACACACATGGATCCAGGGGAGGGGGGCTGGAAGATATGGCTGAGAGGTGGAGGAGCGGCTGGGGATGAGGGGGGAGAGGTGGGGAGAGGCCCTTCTCTGGGCAGGGCGGGCTCCTCAGGGGTTTAAGAGCTGAAGTAAACTGTAGAGAGGGAAAGAGAAGGAAGGAGGAGGAGTGGGGGGAGAAAGAGAGAGAAAGCAGTGTGTCAGGCCTGGCCCTGCTCCCAGCCTCCCCACCCCCCAACCCCCTCAGCCTTAGGTTCTCCATCTGGAAAGCAAGGGGCTGGACTGATAGGTTCCAAGATCTCTACAACTCCATGGTATGGCCTTGGGGCCACAGACTCCTCATCCTCTAGGCTCTCTGGGCCCAAAAGTTCTCAAACAGTAGGGTGTTTGGCTTCCTAGCCATGGCCCTTGCCTGCTCTCCCACTCCCCAATTCCAGGGTTCCCAGACTAGGTTTAGGCCCAAAAAGGATCCTCAAGGGAGCAGTAGGGATCCACCAGCTTTGCTGTTTCCAAAAACCTTAACAGAAATTGCCTAGAACCAGGCAAAGTGCAAGCTAAACGCAGCAAGGTTTGGGGCTCTAGATGAATCAGAGCCGCACTGGCAGCTCTGTATGCTTTTTGCTGAGTAGTAAAAACTAGGTTAATGACCTTCAAAACCTAGAAGGGGAAACCTCTCCAGAGGAAGGGCCCTAGCCACTCCTGCCCTACTCACCGATGATGATGATGAGGATGATGGCGCAAATCACTCCCAAGATGATCATCATCTGGGGGCGAGAGGGGGAGGGGATCAGTGACACAGACCGTGACACTCCCGGTGGCCCCTCAGTTAGCTCTCACACCAGCCCTCCTGGGCGCCCCCACCCTTACCTTGAGGTTTTTCCACCAGTATTTGCGCTTGAGCTTGGCTGCACTGGTTTCAAACTGGGAGGCCCCTGCCTGGAGTGCATCTGCACGGTCGTCCAGCTCTGACAGCTTCTGGTCCCGCTCCAGGACCTTGTCCACGTTCACCCTCATGATGTCCACCACCTGGAGGAGGGGCCCACGAGGCAGGGGGTGTGCCAAGGCCGTCGCAATGAGGGCACTCCTCAACCATGCACCCACAGAGGGAACATGCACCCCGATGCTGCCAGGCTAACATGCCAAGGACACACAGAGAACATGCCTAGCACACCTGAGGACATGCAAGGAGCACACATCAGGGGCATGCTGACAGCCAGACATCTCGGATGTCAGAGCAGCACCCTCTATGTACTGAGCCTCGAGCAGCTTGTCCATCACCAGACCACACCTGCCGAGACTGAACCGCCCCAGGCAATCAAGGCTGACGAACACCCCAGGGCCGATTGGAACGCAAGCTTAACAGGGAAGGGGCAGGGTATGTCTTTGTCCCCAAACTCATAAACTCATCACCTCCAACCCACGGTGGGCCTCCCACCGGTTTGCCAACCCTCAGGGTCTTTCCCACTTCCTGGGACAACCCCCCCCGCCCCGCACTCACCTCATCCACCTGGGCCTGGGTCTGCTGCAGTCTCCTGTTACTGGTGAGATTTGGAGGGGGCGCAGGGGGGCCCCCCTCCCCAGCCGGGGCGGCAGGGGGGGCGGTGGCAGCGGTAGCCGACCTGAGGGGCAGGGACGGATTAAGACCCGAGGCCTGGAGCCACCGGCCCCGCGGCCAGGGCTCCGCCCATCCTCCTGTCCATCCATCCGTCCCTCCCTTTCTCCTTCGCCGGAGGAAGGCCACCCGATGGGAGCCCTGGACTCCGTCCGGCCCCGCCGCCGCTTAGCTGCGTGACCTTGAGTCAGGCTCCCTCCCCCCCCGGGGCTCAGTTTCCCCGCCCGTCAAATAAGGGCGACCTCAAAGACAAGGTCCGGGGTCGACCCGAAATGACAGGCGGCGGCGGGGCCGGGACGGGCGGACGCGGGGCCCGCTCCCTCCCGCGGCCACCGCCCGCGCGGCCAGCCCGGAGACGCGGCGCTCTCCAGCTGCCCGCGCGCAGTCACGGGCGCCGGCCTGGCCTCGGGGCGCCGACCGAACCCCCGCCGCTCCCTGGACCGGCTCCCGAGGGCGGCGGCCGGTGCAGGCAGGCCCGGTGCAGGCGCGGGCGGCCGACTCACATGGCGGGGGCGGCTGGCGGGCGACTCGGCAGCTGCGGCGGCTGCGGCGGCGACGGCGGCGGCGGCGGCGGCTCGCGCTGGCTCCGACTGGCGCTGGCTGCCGGGGACGGGAAGATGGCGGCCGCACGTCACCCACATCCGGGCACTGCGGGCGGGGGCGGGGCGCGGCGGGCGGTGCGTCGGGAGCGGGGCGGTGGGGGCGGGGTGCGGCCGGCCGCGCGGCGGACCGCGGGGGCCGAGCGCCTGCCGCAGCTGCGTGAGCCCAGAGCCCCGGCGCTGCGGCTCTCCGCACCCTCCGCCGACCTGCCCCGTCGGGCCACAGCCTCACGGGCGCACCTCTGCCCCCCTGGCCTGGACAGCGCCCCTGAGCCCCAGACCACGTCCTCCCGCACCCGCGAAACCCGTAAACCAGTCAGCACCTCACATCCCCCGCAAGGCCTCGGCCTCCGCATGGGCCCCAAGGCCGGCGACCTGCTTCAGCGTCTGCAATGGGCTGCGGAGGGGTGGAGGGGGCGTGGGAAGGGGCAAGTGCAGGTCGCCGGGGCAATGCGGGTAGCTGGGACCCTGCTTTTGAGGTGGACGGAGCGGCGGGAGCTGGTGCCCTCAGCCCGCCCCACGGGTGCACGGCTCAGCCGAGGCCTGGGGCCCCTGGCCGCTAAGGAGCGGGGTGTGAAAGGAGAAGAGGCAGGCTCTACCCCCACCCCCACCCCAAGCAAATCACCGCAAAGTGTGCAAGCTGCCTCTCGCTCCTCACAACTGGGGCTCAGACCGGGGGTGCTTGACTGAGATAGGGCAAGGTTAAGGCCGAGGGACGAGGACACGAGGCTGTCCCGTGGGGCCGCTTCCCATGGTGGCCACAGACCGGCCAAATCCCAGCTCTGCCCTAGAGCTGGGTCCCCTGCCGGGCAACAGAAGGAGGGCTCAGCCTCTGATCCCAGGCTGCGACAATAAGGGGCTTTGGGTTTTTTCTGTTGTTTTTCTTTAGGGGGCGACGGTAGGCAAGGGCTGCCCTTGCAGTACCCAGGTGCAAGGTACTACGGTACATGTGGATTAGCCTCCTAGGTGTGACCTTGGCCAGTTCCTGTCCTATCTCTTGGACCCCACCTATGTTATATTTGTAGGCGCTACCTATATGTTAAGTGGCTTGATCTAGAACATGGTAGGAGGTGATTATACTTGCCCCCTTCATCCCCTCTGGTCTCTTTAGATCCTCTAAGCAGCAGCTGCACACACGGGTCCCCAGCAGGCCTGGCCCTTCAGAAAGATGGGACCAGATGAGCTGCCTATCTTGTGGGGTGGGCCAGGACGAATCTCAAAAGGGAAGGAGGGCGTGTCTTAGGAGAGGCATCATGGTCCCAGGCCATGGGTGCTCAGTGCATCCCCGGAAGGAGAGCAGAGGAAGATGGGTGGCCTTGGTGTCTGAGACAAAGAAGAGCCAGCTTCTTCCCTCCCCCACCCAGGCTTCCCAGGGCTTCTGGTGTGAGAGCCTGCCCTATGCAGCGCCCCACCCCCTCCGGGCAGAAGCCTGGGGGACTGGCTCTGTCACCAGAGGTGTCATTTCCCAGCTGTCTGGGGGAGGTGAGTGAACACGGAGCTTGTGTTGGGTGTGGGGACTCAGCAGATCTAAGATAGAGTCTCAGCTCCCTCCCCCTCCAAGGAGGAGCCACTTCTCAGGTCCTTGTGCACTGGCTCAGCCTCTGTGGAAAGGGAGAAAGGAGCGGCTTGCCTGGGGGCCCAGATGGCACTGTGGGGTGCTAGCTTTTGTTTTTTGGCCCTGAGGCTACTCTGTTTTCTAGCCAGAGAACAAAGATGCCAAATTCCATGCTTTTAGGTTCAAAAGCTGCAGTGCCTGGGTCTATGATGGGGAAGGAGTTACAAACAGGCAGACGTCCCACCCCCACTGGCCCCTGCTACCCCGCACTAGCTGGAGAGAAGCTAGTGGAGGGCCAGCCAAGATGTTAGACCTTGTTTTCGGAGTGGGCTTCATTTTCCCCAATGGCCAAGTCCAGAGAACATGGGAGGGACAGAACCCAGAATACACCTGGGGAGTCAAGGCCATGGAGTGTGACTTGGAAAGCTGGCAAAGGGCTCTTGGGTCCTGAGGCAGCAGCAGGAGGGTAGAAATGAGGCCATGTCTGATCCATGGACGTGGGGACCTGGGAGGATTTATATCAAGGGAGGACTCTCCCTGCCAACCCCCTTAAGTCACGGTGCTAAGGGACTCCTCAAATTTAGATCAATGGTGGAGTCAGGAGAAGGGGATGGCGTGGGATGACGGAGTTCACCTGGAAATGGATAAGGGAATCTTTTCTGCAAGCAGTAGAATGAAGACCCAAAATAGAAGTTGAAGTAAAGAAAAATAGAGCATTATCTTTGCAGACTGAGACAGTGGCTTCCGCATTGCCTGCTTTGGTGTTCGGAGGCCAAATCTCTGGGTCCCACTGCCAAGGCTCTCGGAAAAGATGTGGGCGGGGCCCAAGTTCATTTCTAACAAGCACCTCTGGTGACTGACAGGCGGCCCCGGAGAAGAACTTTAGTGAATGTGTTCTCTCCTGTCTTCCTCTTCTAACGACACCGGACTTAGATGTTAGGATGGAACTGGGGGTGGGTCATTCCCAGGCTGACTCATGAACTTGTTCCATGAGTCAAAACCTCACCACATGGTAATTAATTTCAGAAACTTTGTGTGTCCCTCAACGCTTGTAAGGACAAGGCCTTCTAATTAGGAGTAGGAGGAGAGTGCCCTTGGCAATGCTGCTAGGAACAGGGACCCAGGGGCTTGCCCCACCTCTGTCCCAATCAGCAATCAAGCCTGTGACCTCTGTGACCTCTGGCTGAGCACTCCCCCTCTCCCCACCAGTTCTGGAAGGCATGGGGGCTGCCTGTCCAGCCCTGGACTCCTGGAGGGAAAGGTAACTCCCAGGAGCCTACCTTGAGCTAGGGGCTTCACATGGATTTCTGATGCGCTCCATTTCATTACACACTAATGTGACTGCACTCTCCTTGCAAAATAATAAATCAGGGGCACCTAGGTGGCTCAGTGGGTTAAGCCTCTGCCTTCAGCATTGGCCTTGGGCTCTCTGCTCAGCAGAGAGCCTGCTTCCTCCTCTCTCTGCCTGCCTCTCTGCCTACTTGTGATCTCTGTCAAATAAATAAAATCTTTTAAAAAAAATAAAAACACAAACACACACAGACTATATGCATTAAGCCCCTTCCTTTTTTTTAGCTTTCCAATTATAGGGTGTTTTTTTTTTCTTGTGCCCTCCCCCTCACAACCCGTAACTATCTCTGTATTTTCCATTTCGTTTTTATTTTTACTGTTTTTGAGACAGAGAGAATATGAGCGGGCGTGGGGAGAGAGAGTCAGAATCTTAGGGAGTGGTCCCAACCCGGGGCTTGATCTCATGACCATGAGATCATGACCTAAGCTAAAACCAAGAGTTGGATGCTTAACTGGCTAAGCACCCAGGCGACCCCTTCCAGTTTGGGATTTTTTTTGGTTTGGGGTTTTGTTTTGTTTTTTGCTTTTTTAACATATAGGAGGATTCTCTTTCTCATTTTGCAGGCCTCCCTCAAATGTCTGCTGGTCCCTGGCTTTATTTTTATTTATTTCTAAAGATTTTATTTTTTTATTTGACAGACAGAGATCACAAGTAGAGAGACAGGCAGAGGGAGAGGAAGAAGTAGGCTCCCCGCTGAGCAGAGAGCCCGATGTGGGGCTCGATCCTGAGATCCAGGACCCTGAGATCCAGGACCCTGGGATCATGACCCTCATGACCCGTGAGCTGGGAGGCAGAGGCTTTAACCCACTGAGCCACCCAGGTGCCCCTGGTCCCTGGCTTTAATAGGGAGCCACCAAGAGGCTGATTGGAAGGGTGTGTGTGTGTGTGTGTGTGTGTGTGTGTGTGTGTGTGGTGGGAGAGGATTTATTGACCATTGGTTTTCCCTGCTGGACAGTGGATGCCTTTTCACCAGGATTCCGAAATGTTGATAGGTGGCAGGCTTTCTCTGGGGCTGTTCTCTGAGAGAAGCCTATCCTCCATTCTCCCTCCCCACCCTCTCCGTGTGTGAAGAGGGGAGAATCTGGAGCAGGGTGGGGGCTCCTGCTTGTAGCCTCAAGCCTCGGGTCTACTGCTCCTGCTGTCCCCAAGTCCAAAGCCTTCCTGGAAACCGGGATGTGGGGGATGGCGTGTGCGACTCAGAGGGGAGAAGGGTGGGAGCTCAAAGGGTTTCAACAATTTGAATCTGGGATCTCAGCCACCACTGTCCCCCCACCAAGGTTCAGCCAGGCCTTGACGGGGATCCGGTGACCTTCAGAATCTCCGGATGTCACGTCTGGACTCCCCCCGTCCTTGCTTGCCCTGCAACCTGCCTTCAGCCGCTGCTGAAATCTCCTGTCCCCTGTCTCTCTGGTCTCTTGGTCCTTGTCGATGTACCTATCAGTCTTTGACTCCTCTCCTGTTACTTCCGTTCTGGAAGGGAGGGAAGGCAAATGCTCATGGTCGGTCTTCCTTATTTAGCCAGAAAGCGCACTACTGTTTACTGCTTCAGCACTGGCTTTTAGGTTATTTCCAATTCTTTTGCTCCTCTAACAGTACTCTTAGGAAGGCTGTTGTAAATAGTCCCCATGATCAACCAACTCAGGACAGTCCTGTGGGGGCATTCCTGTCTTGATCTTACATGTGGGGAAGCTGAGCTCAGAGAAATGCCTTGATGGGATCTTTGTAAGTTTCTTTCACATATAGAATACCCCTTTAAAGAGTTTTGTGTGTTTGTGTGTTCTTCTTGTTGTTTGTATAAGGGTGCCTGGGTGGCTCAGTCGGTTAAGTGTCTGCCTTCGACTCAGATACTGACCCCAGGGTCCCGGGATCGAGTCCTCCATCGGTCTGCCTGCTGCTGGGGAGCCTGCTTCTCCCTCTGCCTGGTCCCCCTGCTTGTGCTCTTTATCTGACAAAAAAAGAAAAGAGTTTTGTTTTTTTTTTTAATTTATTTATTTGACAGACAGAGATCACAACTAGGCAGAGAGACAGGGAGAGAGAGGAGGGGAAGCACGCTCCCTACCAAGCAGAGAGCCCGATGCGGGGCTC